TACAGACAACAGGATTTACAACGGCCGGCAACAGGAGATATCGCGGAATGAACAACAGTATATATAAAGGGCGATGCAAAGGGTGGAACAGGATGAACAAGAGGAGATACAACGGGCAGAACAACAGGTGAGGCAACAGAGGAAGAAACAATAACAGGTGAGACAACAGAGGATGGAACAACAGGTGAGGTAACAGGGAGGATGGAGCAATAGGCGAGGTAACAGGAAGGATGGAACAACAGGTGAGGCAACAGAGGAAGAAACAATAACAGGTGAGACAACAGAGGATGGAACAACAGGTGAGGTAACAGGGAGGATGGAGCAACAGGCGAGGTAACAGGAAGGATGGAACAACAGGTGAGGCAACAGAGGAAGAAACAATAACAGGTGAGACAACAGAGGATGGAACAACAGGTGAGGTAACAGGAAGGATGGAGCAACAGGCAGAAAAACAACAGAGGTAACAGGAAGGATGGAACAACAGGTGAGGCAACAGGAAGGAAGACAACAGGTGAGACAGCAGAGGAAGGATAACAACAGAGGAAACAGAAGGATGGATCAACAGGCGAGGCAACAGGAAGGAAGGAACAACAGGTGAGGCAACAGGAAGGATGGAACAACAGGTGAGGTAACAGGAAGGAAGTAACAACAGGTGAGACAGCAGAGGAAGGAATGAACAACAGGTGAGACAGCAGAGGAAGGAATGAACAACAGGTGAGGAAACAGGAAGGATGGATCAACAGGCGAGGCAACAGGAAGGAAGGAACAACAGGTGAGGCAACAGGAAGGATGGAACAACAGGTGAGGCAACAGAGGAAGAAGGAACAGCAGATGATAGAAGATAAGGATGTGGAGAAGGAAGAAAGGGAGGGGAAGTAGGAGGTAGAGAAGAAGGAACTGAATAAGGAAGGAATGATAGTAGTCAAGACAGGACGAAAGAAGAACAGGAAGTGGGGGGAGGAGTAAGGAAGAGAGGAATAGAAAGAGTAAAGAGGGGAGGAGATGCGGGAAGATGATAGCAAGAAGGTGAAAAGAAGTAAGTGATGTAGGAGGGAGGAAAATGAAGGAAGATATATAGTAAAGCTAACAAAGGAGGAGGAGGAAGAAGAGGAAAAGGAGGAGGAAGAGGAGAAGAAAAGTAGGAGGAAAAGGAGGAGGAAGAAAAAGAGGAGAAGGAAGAAGAGAAGAAGGAGGAGGAGGAAGAGGAGAGAGAGGAAGAGGAGGAGGAGGGAGAAGAGGAGGAGGAGGAGGAGGAGAGAGGAGGAGGAGAAAGGAGGAGGAAGAGGAAGAGGGAAAAGAGGAAGAGGAAAAAAGAGGAGGAAAGGAAGGAGGGAGGAAGAAGAGGAGAGGGAGGGGAGGAGGAGGAGGAACAGAGAAGGAGGAAGAAGAGGAGGAACAGAGGAGGAGAAGAGGAGAGAGGAAAAGGAGGAGAAGAGGAAGGAGGAGGAAGAGGAAAAGGAGGAGGAAGAGAAGGCGGGGAGGAAGAGGAGGAGGAGGAAGAGGAGGAAAGCGTGAGTCAAGTTGGAGAAGTCATCAACAAGGTCACTTTGATCAGCTTCTCAGCACCTACCATCAGCTGGCTACGGCACCTGGCTCTGGGTGTGTGTGTGTGTGTGTTGACGCTTGATCTTATATAACCTTATTGTGTATAATAATTCACCAAGGGAAAGTTGTTGGAGCCTAATAACTTGCTTAGACATAAACCATCGACTCTTCAGGCTTCTAAGCCCTTGACTCTTCAGGCTTCTATGCCCTTAACTCATGAGACATAAAGGCAAGTATGAACTTAACTAATATATTATAATATATATATATATATATATATATATATATATATATATATATATATATATATATATATATATATATATATATATATTACTGTGCACGTTTGTTGTACGCTTATTCATGACTGTATGCATGTATGACGTAGCCATGATTGTATGACGACTTCATGGCTACTTATGTTCACGACTATATGTAAGATGTATATACAGTAAATATATATGCCTCTATGTATCTGTTCGTGTATCTTCATGTGCATGAATGTACAGTATGTTGCAAAAATAATGAGCATTAGACATATATGTATTCATGCATTCATGTAAGAATTGAGTCTTATAAGGGCTGACTAGCCTCTCAATTTTACTTAATCAGGTCAGAGACCTTTCTTGACTAAAATTATACAAGTTGAACTTCCAGGCAAAACATTCACGCATCCTGCCCACTGAGGCTGAAATATCGTGGCCAGGTCCTTTATATACAAAACCTGCCCTCGTGTTGTATCCCAGATAGCCTTCACCAACAGAACTATCCTCCTGGGAGACCATTATGGTTGGTGAATGATGCGGCCTCGTGAGACTGAGCTATTGAAATTGGGTGAGTTATTTACGTACAATATATATTCCCTAATGAGCTGTATGATATAGCAAAGGCTTTGTTTTTATGGTTGGTAGCAATTAGTCTCATGGATATCATTATTTCAGCCTTATACAAATGCCAGCTTTCGTCCTTATATGAATGTTATTCCCTTCAGAGCCCGGATGTTTTGTTGACAGGCTGAGAGAGATCAACTGAGTCAGGCGCCAGACTCTTGAGAATAAAGTTCCCCTGCTTTTGATATGAGTTTATTCCGTACCCTTAAGAGACCACATCCCTGTGCCCGATAAAAATATGAGAAATGAGAGAGAGAGAGAGAGAGAGAGAGAGAGAGAGAGACCTCCACTACCACCGACCAAAACCGATTACAGATGGAAGGGTGTTGAGTCACACACTTGCATCACAAATGGGGTGCTGCTTCTGACTGCTAATAATAGTAAGTATAGAATTCACGGAACCTTGCCCTAGTGAATGTTATTAATTTAGCGAGCGTACATTCCTCCTCATAGAACACAAGGCCTATGTTTTCATTGTGTGTGTGTGTGTGCGTGTGTGTGTGTGTCTTTATAGATACTCACAGCCATCCGACTTCCACATTTCTAACTTATCTTTAAGTATAACTTACACGCACACACACACACACACACACACACACACACACACACACACACACACACACACACGCGCGCGCACACACACACACACACACACACACACACACACACACACACACACACACACACACACACACACACACACACACACACACGCACGCACGCACGCACGCACGCACCACACACACACACACACACATATATATATATATATATATATATATATATATATATATATATATATATATATATATATATATATATTATATATATATATATATATATATATATATATATATCTTCCTTCATCGATCCTTGTCACACCTCTCAGCTTCAATCATTTATTCGTCTTGGTACACAGCACGAGTCAGTGTAATGCAGTGTAAGACAGGTAACAGCATAACACAGTATACAGAAGAGGAGAGACAGTGTAACAAGGTAATGTGTTAAGTGCAATGGAACAGCATTAGACAGCGTGATATAAGGAAAACACTATTGCTCAGTATACTCGTATAGTACAATATAACACGGTAAAAACAACCTAACACGGTACAACACATTGTAACACGGCACAACACAACACGGTACAACACAATATAACACGGCACAACTCAACATAACACAGCACAACACAACAATTTATAAAACAATATAACAGTACAACATAACGCGACACAACACAATATAACACAATATAACAGTACAACACACATAACACGGGACAATATAACATGGCACAACACAACACAACACAATACAACATAACACGGTACAATATAACACGGCACAGCATAACAAGCCACAACACAATATAACAGTACAACACACATTACACGGTACAACATAACATAACATGGCACAACACAACGCAACATAACACGGCACAACATAATACGGTACAACACAACACGGTACAACAACACAACACGGTACAACACAACATAACACGGTACAATACTACATAACAAGGCACAACACAGCATAACACGGCACAACACAAAATAACACGGCACAACACAACATTACACGGCACAACACAACATAATACAGTACAACACAACATAACACGGTACAACACAAAATAACACGACACAACACAAAATAACACGACACAAGACAACACGGTACACTATATTATAACACGTACAACACAACATAACACGGTACAACACAACATAACACGGTACAACACAACATAACACGGCACAACGCATTAAGCAGCAATAGGAGGCTAAACCAACTGGAAAAATTATCCAAAACGAGAAACCCAAACTTAAATTAGTTCCTACTGCCACCATAATTAGCCTATTAAAATGTGAAAAGACCCGATCTGAGTTTTGCGAAGATATCTTGTTTAAATACAAATTGAATTGACCGTAAAGGGTTCCAAAGTCACCGTCCTCGCCCCCACTGACGTGCAATTTCACACTTGGCAAACTGGGATGAACTGCCAGTAGGGAATCGTATACCTTGTAGCCTTATCACATATTCCTATACGCTGGGATCTGAACCAAGAGTGTATAATGTGATCCTACTCGATATTACAAGTGTTGGTCAAGCTACTCATTGTTTCTTTGCTTGTGACCCGTTGCCCGCCTGTCCTGGTCTGCCTGAAGAATGATTTTCGCGCTTGAGGGATGTTTTATTTTCAAGTTTAACGGCAGCTAATGGTTATCATTTCAGCCTAGGCATGTCATTGGCTTCCAAGATGTGAAGTCAAAGTTCTTTATGAGTAAACTTAATATAATTTTTTTTATTAATACAACTAAGGTGATCAAGAAGCGGTCATCAGTTGCATTATGCCGCACTTGAAAAATCCATCAGTCAAGTCAGGAAAGTGGGCATGGGCTTACTAAATGGAATAAAAAACAACGTCCACAGCTAATATTCTTATGTTTTACAGGTGGTGAACACTGTCTTGTATATAAATTGTATGAGAATAAAAAATATATATATATATAATACGAAGATATTTTCTAGTGAGTACATGGACCCAACCCCACCTTCCTACATGGTCTTCAAGTCGATGATACCAAAGCTTACAAAAGGAGTCCAGGGAATTTTGTCCACAACTGTACAAGAAAACAATATCTTGGGTGCACATAAACCTCTGTACGTGAAGGTCCAGGCAGACAGTATTGGGGTCAGTAGTGAGAGGGGATAGCCCAGAAACCCTGAAGGCGGCCACGCGAGAAATAAGGACTCACTTCCCACACAAATAAATACCAATCTTCGTCTCCAGTGAATTGAGAAGTCCTTCATTGTATTGGTGAAAACAAGATGGATTTTCTAACACAATAGGTTTATTCACAACAACTTCATTCACAACAAGTTCCTTCACAACAGGTTCCTTCACAAAAAGTTCCTTCACAACAAGTTCCTTCACAACAAGTTCCTTCACAAAAAGTTCCTTCACAACTGGTTCCTTCACAACAGCTTCCTTCACAACAGGTTCCTTCACAACAGGTTCCTTCACAACAGGTTCCTTCACAACAGGTTCCTTCACAAAAACTTCCTTCACAACAAGTTCCTTCACAACAGGTTGCTTCACAACAGGTTCCTTCACAACACGTTCATCTCCAACAGGTTCCTTCACAACAGGTTCTTTCACAACAGGTTCCTTCACAAAAAGTTCCTTCACAACAAGTTCCTTCACAACAAGATCCTTCACAACAGATTCATACAACAACTAAACAGCTGATGTTATATAGAGCGTAACAAGTGATCGTGGGCACTTCGTGCCCGGTGGCGAGTCCGGTGGTACAGTTTACCGAGGTTCTTATAATCATGGTCGTGGTTGTTAAAATCATGGTCCTAGTTGTTATAATCATGGTCGTGCTTGTTATAATCATGGTCGTGGTTGTTATAATCATGGTCGTGGTTGTTATAATCATGGTCGTTTGTTATAATCATGGTCGCTTGTTATAATCATGGTCGTGGTTGTTATAATCATGTTCGTGGCTGTTATAATCATGGTCGTGCTTGTTATAATCATGGTCGTGGTTGTTATAATCATGGTCGTGGTTGTTATAATCATGGTCGTGATTGTTATAATCATGGCCGTGGTTGTTATAATCATGGTCGTGCTTGTTATAATCATGGTCGTGGTTGTTATAATCATGGTCGTGGTTATAACCATGGTCTGGTTGTTATAATCATGGTCGTGATTGTTATAATCATGGTCGCTTATATAATCATGGTCGTGCTTGTTATAATCATGGTCGTGGTTGTTATAATCATGGTCGTGGTTATTATAATCATGGTCGCTTGTTATAATCATGGTCGTGGTTGTTATAATCATGGTCGTGGTTGTTATAATCATGTCGTGTTATAATCATGGTCGTGTTGTTATAATCATGGTCGTGCTTGTTATAATCATGGTCGTGGTTGTTAAATCATGTTCGTGGTTGTTATAATCATGGTCGTGCTTGTTATAATCGGTCGTGGTTGTTATAATATGGTCGTTGTTATAATCATGGTCGTGATTGTTATATCATTTCGTGGTTGTTATAATCATGGTCGTGGTTGTTATAACTCGGTCGTGCTTGTTATAATCATGGTCGTGGTTGTTATAATCATGGTCGTGCTTGTTATAATCATGGTCGTGGTTGTTATAATCATGTCGTGGTGTTGTTATAATCATGGTCGTGCTTGTTATAATCATGGTCGTGGTTGTTATAATCATGGTCGGTTGTTATAATCATGGTCGTGATTGTTATATATCGGTTATCATAGTCGTGGTTGTTATAATCATGGGCATGGTTGTTATAATCATGGTCCCGGTTGTTATAATCATGGTCGTGGTTGTTATAATCATGGTCGGTTGTTATAATCAGTATGGTTGTTATAATCATGGGTGTGTTATAATCATAGTCGGTTTTATAATCATGGTCGTGGTTGTTATAATCATGGTCGTGATTGTTATGATCAGTGGTTGTTATAATAGTGTGGGTTATAACGGTTATAACTGGCGGGCATATTGTTATAATCATGGTCCCGGTTGTTAATATAATCATGGTCGTGGTTATATAACTGCCGCGGTTGTTATAATCATGGCCGTGGTTGTTGGTAATCATAGTCGTGGCTGTTATAATCATGGTCGTGGTTGTTATAATCATGGTCGTGATTGTTATGATCATTATCGGGTTGTTGTGAACATAGTCGTGGTTGTTATAATCATGGGCATGGTTGGCTATAACCGCGGTCCCGGTTGTTATAATCATGCGTGGCTGTTATAACTGCGGTCGTGGCTGCTGTAATCACGGTCATGGCTGTTATAATCGGTCGGTTGTTATAATCATAGTCGTGGTTGTTTATAATCATGGTCGTGGTTGTTATAACCGCTATCGTGGTTGTTATAATCATGGTCGTATCGGTTATAATCATAGTCGTGGCCGCGTAATGATAGTCGTGGTTGTTATGTAATCATGATCGTGGTTGTTGTAATCATGGTCGGCTGTTATAATCATATAGTCGTGGTTATTATAATCATTGTCGGGTTGTTATAACTGGCGGTCGGCTATATAAACATGGCCGGTTTACAATCATGGTCGTGATTATGACTGCGGTCGTAGTTGTTATAATCATGGTCGTGGTTGTTATAATCATGGTCGGCTGTTATAATCATAGTCGTGGCTGGTTATAATCATGGTCGTGGTTGTTATAATCAAGGTCGGCTGTTATAATCGCGGGTGTGGTTGTTATAATCATGGTCGGCTGTTATAATCATATCGGTTGTTTACAACCAGTCGTATGTTAAAATCATAGTCGGGCCGTTATAACTGGCGGTCGGTTGCTATAACTCATATCGGTTGCTACAATAATAGTCGTGGTTGTTATAATCATGGTCGTGGATGTTATAATCATGGTTGTAGTTATATAATCATGGTCAGTGGATGCGCAATTATCGTCGTGGTTGTTATAATCATAGTCGTGGTTGTTATAATCATTGTCGTGGTTATGATCATAGTCGTGGTTGTTATAATCATGGTCGTGGTTGTTATAATCATGGATCGTGATAGTTACAGTATCTATTATACTATAAGAAGGAATAGAATAAAGGTTAGAATAATTAATTAAAGAAATATTTGCCATAAGGACAGGCTAAAATCTTTAAAAATAAAAAATATTATCAATCACCGATGATCATTCCAAGATAAATTTTATTATGAAGAGAAGTGACCTTGATTCTGGTTAGATTATTCACCATCTGCTTAAGTCATCACCTGTGTTAAGTCATCATAGTCATCATCTACGTTAGTCAGTTTTAGGCCCATCTCACATGACTGACCAACCATCGATGTCCTTTCCGCGCGAGGGTGTTAGTTTTAAAAGCGTCTTATTATTTACGCTGGTGGATGTAAGACCTCCTATTCTCACTGACGCAGCTATGGTCAATTTGGTGTTATTCTTGTTTATAAATGCCTTCTAATCTGTCTCGTGTCTATCCGTCCTGTCTATTGCCATCCCAACTGTCTGTTCGTCTGCGTGGTGTTTGAATGTAAGCCCGTCTGTACTCCTTGTGTCGTCAAATCTGTCTGTCTTATCCGTTGTTGGCGTGTGTCTGCCTGTTTGTCTAATGTGAAGCAGTAGGTCAGCTGTCTGTCTGTCTGTCATGTTAGTTGCCATATTGTCTATTTGTGCATGTATGAATCTGTCTATTTTTGTCAACCTCCTGTCTGTTTCACTGTCTATATTCACCCTGTGTCTATTGTAGTCATCTTCTCCATGCTTTCCTGTTATTATCTTTTTATCTCTTCTCCTTTTCCATGAACCACAGGAATAAGTATACACTGTAGCTGTCAGGTCGTCTGGTAACGTTGAAACTGCGCAACCAGACACATGATGAAATTCAGCTCCCCCCCCCCCTGCTATCTCTAACTATTTTCTGTTTCTCCTTCTTTATTCTTCTATTTACTCATCTTCCTTCCTTTACTAATCTAAACAACATTAAAAGAAGGTAGACTAAGAAAAAAAGTGGGGGGAGGAGTTAGGAGAGAGCCGTACGATATTTGCAATCTGGGCCGACAGCATACAGCGAATGGGGGTGTGCCAAATCCGTAGACTTGCATCGTTTTCCAGCGTAAATAAAATGGTTATGTAATGGCTTCCTAAAGAAACCATCGATATGGGACCAGGTTTGTTCCACTCTACGAATTTTTTGCGATTTTTCCACGAAGTTTGATGAAAAACGAAAAACGATTGTGCCGTTTTGGCTGCCCAGAACACACACACACTCACACACGCCTAGTCCTATAGTATATTAGATTAATAGTAGTATTTCGTATAACTTATGGTTCTTAATTACCACACATATTACTGTGATTCAAAGGTACTGAAGACCTTTATTATTTCAATAATAAAACAAAGGCAACGTCAATCCGTCAGGTCAGGTATATTAGGACCTGGGCTCACTGTTAGGAGTTATAATTCAAAGCATATAGTAAACTTAATACACTGTGATATTATGGTCCTGGTGTCATTATTTTCCTCGATATAAAAATGCAGATATGAAGCAACGAGAGAAAACTAAACACTTAGGGTGAAATAAACACAAATCGAGAAACATTACACAAGTGTTTCGCTACTTGGCTCATCTGGTTCATTTGGTTGAAGGACAAAACGGCCGACGCTGCAGCCACGACACTGTTGTTCTAAAATGAGATATTAATAATAATAATAATAATAATAATAATAATAATAATAATTAACGGTTTATTGAAAGAGCTTGGCAGCCAGAAGGCTGAAAATATACAGTTACATATTTGGGGAAGGGTTTCGAATTACAAATAATATACAAGTAACATAAGTGATACAAATAAGATATATAATAACTAGATGGGGAAAAGCTCAAACTACAGTGCATTTCAACATAGTGACAGTGCAAGAAGTAGTATTTACTGGGAGTGAATACACTGGTTTATTACAAGTTATTGATAATTTTTACAATAGTTGGGACTGGGCTGTTCTTATAGAGATCAGTTCGTGCACGCATGGGCCGGATGCGGTTGTGGTGTCGAACAGCAATTCTCGGGCTAGGGATCTCAGGTGGTAGTAGGAGCCGGTGTCGAGGATGGTGTAGAAGCTTCTTACCAAATTTGCAGATGAGGTCGTGGTGATGGTCAGTGAGAGTCGAAAGGGTCAGTATGTTGAGCGCTTCTTGATATGTGGAGTAGGAAGGGGAGAGAATAATCTTGCGTGCCCTCTTTTGCACTTTTTCTAGGTGTTTACGTTGTGTGGCATTTAGGGAGGAAGACCAGGTAGGGGAGGCATAGGTGAGCTTGGGAAGTATGAATGTTGTGTAAACACTGAGGAGCTCGGGTGCAGGAACTCCGAGGGACTTGAGTCGGCGGAGGAGGTGGAGACGGAAACTGGAGGATTTGACAACTTCACTGACGTGTGGTTTCCAATTTAGTTTGTTGTCTATGGTGACGTCGAGGAGCTTCGTGGAATCTACAACCTGGAGTGTGTTCGGACCTAAAGTAATGGAAGGAGGTGGGACAATGTCGGAGGAGAGGTTGATGTGCATAACCATGGTCTTGGTATGGTTGATGTTGACATGGTTGTTGGTGGCCCAGTTTTGGAGACTGTTCAATAAATCCTGAAGGGCGGTGTAGTCAGGAGCAGAATTGTTGGCGCAGATCCCAATGGTGGAGTCGTCGACAT